GAGCACAAGTTCCCGCAAATCAAGCCGCATCCGTTCTCGAAGGTATTCTTGCAATCGATTTGCGGTCTCGTTACAAGTTATACTTACGTAAGTATGTACAACAGGTATTTCGGCCACGCACTGCGCCTGAGGCGATAGATTTGGTTTCGAAATTGCTAGAGTACACGCCTGGGGCACGTTTAAGCGCAGTTGAGGCTATGGTGCACCCATTTTTCGATGAACTACGAATGGAGGGGGCAAGGATGCCAAACGGGAAGGATTTCCCCCGTCTATTTGACTTCACTCGGGAAGGTATGAACGACAGAGTTATGGGGTGTGGACGAATGCTGACGAGGTTGATAACAGAACTGTCGGTGCGACCTGACCTGAACCGACACCTGGTTCCACGACAATGCGAAGCTGAGCTGCGCGCACGGGGGATCGACCTGGATACATTTGTACCGATACCTCTGGATCAGCTGAAGATCACGCTTGATTGATCGTTAGGAAGGAGGAGTGTGGTTGGTTGGTATATGATTTTTGCGTATCGTATAATATCGATCGAGACGAGTACGTGTATCCTGTCTGCGTTGTATTGATTTTGTGTCATGTTCACGCCATATTTTTTTGTTGTTGAATTGATTTCCGCGGTACTATCCGTCCGTCCAGTAACCAGTGTACACAATGATGTTACTAGTATGCCTGTTCGTTCAGCAGATATTTGTGAGGAAGGAATTGAAGCGACCTTGCAACTGTTATATACTGTGACAGGAGTGGCGTGACAATGTGACATAATTACTGTCGCTTGCGCGATGTTGCGTGAGATGTTCGCGAGAGTCGTTTTGGCGAGATATTGGTTGATTTGATTTGCACAAGACGACACATCATCATGCTATGAGCAATCCCGGCTCATTCAAAACCTTGGAGCCCTTTCACGTCACTCAATGATATCGGCCATGGCCACCACCACTACTGAATGTGACACCCTCCCTGCGCCTCGATTCGCTTCAAATGCAACACCTGATCAGAATGGTGGGGCATCCCCTTCATCTTCCCAAATCTTTCGATCTTCTTCTGCCTCCTCATCTCCGCCCTCCACCATTGACGAGTCAGCACAGATGACCGTCATGTCACCCACTCCAACCACCCAGAGGAAGCTATGTGTTCGCCATCAGAGGATGGCAGACGAAGGCACCAACTTAAAGCTTCAGCAGGTATTTATCTTTCCCTCCCGATTTCCACCCGAGTTGTCCGGGTGCTGATATATTCTGCAGTCTCTCGATGCTCTCCCTGTCCAAGAACGAGAAGCTGTCAATGCCATCTGGTCTGGCTTCTCCTCGTCATCGCACCCGAGGAGAGAACTTATTCTCCAAGGACTCCTCACCATGTGTTGTTTCTCTCAGCTCTCCTTGCTCGCAGAGCAGCTCGGTCAATTGATCCGCATCGATCCATTCGGTGTCCTCCCCCGCGAGGTATCACTCAAAGTTCTTGCCCATCTCGATGCCACCTCTCTATGTCGCGCCGCTCAGGTGAGCAAACGGTGGAAAGCCCTGGCCGACGACGACGTCCTCTGGCGCGGAATATGCGAACAACATATCGGGCAAAAATGCCTCAAGTGTGGCTGGGGACTGCCTATTCTAGAACGAAAGCGCACCGTGCGCTTCAATTCATCCCCTCCTTCTTCCTTTACACCTTCATCGCACTCCGAGCCTCCATCGCCACCACGCTCCAAAAGGGAGTTGGACTTGTCGGAATTTGTCTCTAGCCGGCCGATGAAGCGCCTTAAAGCTGAGTTCGAGGCACACGCCCAGTCGCACTCGTACGACAATCTCTTGATCTCGCAACCATCAATATCGTCATCGTCTTCTTCTTCTTCCCGACTCCGTCCTACTCCTGACCTTCTCACTCCACCCCTTGATTTCCCGGACATCGAGCCTATCACACGCCCGTGGAAGGATGTTTATTCTGAGCGCTTAACGGTGGAACGAAATTGGCGCCGCGGTAGATGTTCCGTACGCACCCTACGGGGACATACCGATGGAGTCATGTGTCTCCAGTTCAGCGAGACGCTCCAACATCCTTCCTTCCCTATCCTCATCACCGGCTCCTACGACCGCACCGTACGTGTGTGGAACATCGAGACTGGCTTCGAGGTGCGCTGCTTGCGCGGACATACGCGCGCTGTGCGGGCGTTACAGTTCGACGAGGCCAAGCTGATTACGGGGAGCATGGACCATACGATACGGGTGTGGAATTGGAGGAGCGGGGAGTGTATACGTACGCTCGAGGGGCATACGGATGGTGTTGTGTGTCTCAACTTTGACTCCAACGTGCTTGCTAGCGGGAGTGTGGACACTACCGTCAAGGTGTGGAATTTCCGCACGGGTGAGGCGTTCACGCTCCGCGGGCACAGGGACTGGGTCAATTCGGTGCGGTTGTGGGATACTGGGGAACAGGCGAGTCCCCAGGTTGGAGAGTCGATGACGTGTGGATCGAATGGAGAGCCGAAGATATGTCAAGGGAAGCTGTTGTTTTCGGCTTCGGATGATGGGGTTATTCGTCTTTGGGACCTTGCACGACGGACGTGCGTGCGCCAGTTCACGGGGCACGTAGGGCAGGTGCAGTGTCTGAAACTCCTCGAGGTCGACGAGCCCTGTGATGAGGGTGGTACCCGCCAAGAACAGCGCGTTGCCGAAAATAATATCGCCCAGGTGACCGAAGTCGGGGACGCTGCGAACCCGTCTGATGTGTGTACGGTGATTACGCATGATGGAGGGGATCCATTTCCTATCAGTCGGGCCTCAAGCGAGAGCATGGAAGACATCCAAAGCCTGGATCGTGTCACGAGGGAAGTGTTGGCTGGCAGTAGCCGGAAGAGCGCTAAACGCCCCGTGCTCATTTCTGGAAGCCTCGATAACACTATCAAGGTTTGGGACATCGACTCTCAAAAGGCTACGCAGACTTTGTTTGGACACATTGAAGGTGTTTGGGCGGTCGCAAGTGATAAGCTGCGGTTGATCAGTGGTAGCCACGATAGGACTATCAAGGTGCGTTTTTTTGTCGGCGGATCATCTCCCCGCTAAACTTGGACTTGGGCGATTTTAGGTGTGGAACCGTGAGGAAGGTCGGTGTACGGCTACTTTGGTGGGACATCGCGGCGCTGTGACCTGCCTCGGACTTGGCGAGGACAAAATCATCTCTGGTAGTGATGACGGGGACATCAGAATATGGTCTTTTGCTGGAGATAACCGCCCTTCATGATCTTCTTCCGTTCTGTTCTCCGAGTTTTATTGCTTTCGGGTTCCTTATTGGTTTGATACCTTATTCCCGCGAACTCACCTTGTAGGGTCAGGATGCTCATCCCGCCCGTAATGTAAATTAGGTCCTGGACTTTATTGCTTTCGGGTTGCTTGCGCTTTGATACCTCGTTCAAGTGATTTACTCTGCAGGTTTTGGCATATCCACCATCGAGTTAGCTTTTAATACGATATGTATGTACATTCTTCTGGTATGTAGGAATGGCATTTAAACACCGAATGCAATCGTCGGAGCAGCGTAAATGGCGCTGACGACTCTAACCTCCCCTTCCTCACCTGCGCCCGCTGCAACGTAGAGCGGAACGAAATGCTCAGTAGTGGGATGTGACTCTGCGAAGCCAGCGTGCCTCATGAGCTCGAACATCGATTGTTTCCGTTGCTCAAGCTGTCAAGGATAAATAATTAACGATCTTGGAACGAGATGAGTATGCGGGATATAGGTACCTCAGGCTGGGATGCGGCCACTGTTATTGCCTTGTCGAAATTCCTTACGTTCGTTGGCGCTGCGGCCTCTGAAAAGAGCCTCATATTACGAAGATTGTGGATGGTCAGACCGCCCGCTAAGACCAGGATCCCCTCTTCTCTGTGAATATTAAGAGCCATCAGTTATGATCGGAATACAATGGCGCGAGCTGGACACGGGGTACGAACCTGAGTTTCGACACAGCCTTTCCAACTGCCCAATTCCGTGCGGGATCGTTAGAATCCTCGATCGATACTTGGACGATGGGGATGTCGTCGACTTTTTCTCCGAACATCATCTTGAAGGGGATGAAGACGCCGTGGTCTAATCCTGGGCCTTGACGAGGGGGAGAAGTCCGGCCATCCCATCCGCGGCCCTCTTGAACGGTTGTGAGTTTGGCTTCTTGCCCTGCCTTTGCAACGAGTTCCAGATCAAGATCGAGATCGGAGAATCATTCGTTTTGATCGGCGCACCTCTTTGTATAACTGTACGATGCGATCGGCTAATGTGCGGTCTCCCCTGGATTCGAACGTTTGTCGATAAAAGTATGGTTCGAATCCGAAGTAGTCCATGAGGAGGGGATTTCTGTCTCCATAATCCGTCACTGCCTCATCGGTCAGCTACGATGTCCACGAAGTACGGCTGCAGTGCTCACCATGGCGTACCCCTGTCGTATCCCAATGAGCACTGAACACGACGATACCCTTCGGCTTGTACTTGGCCCTCAAAGCAGCCCCGAAATCACCCAAGAATTTCCCCAGATCGCCCCCTGCTCCTGTGCTGCTCGGCATAGGGCTCGACTCCCTCGCGATGAGCATCGGGGACCCATGCCCGAAGAAAAAAGCCGGGATTTTCTCTGGAGTGGAGGGGAGGGCCTCTAGCGCCGCTCGCCATGCGCTCTGGGTCTTTGGAAACGACATTTGTGATCTGAGAAGGGGATAGCGCTAGCCAGTGCATTTTTCGGAGATGGTGTGCTTATAAGCTATACGTATACTCTTGCCGCCCCTCCCCACGAGTCCCCAGGCTTGTCATAATGCAATATCATATCGACTATATGAGTATTAGATCACCCACGGCCCACTGGGGATTAAGTCATAACGGACCTGTACTATCTCCTGTATCGCGAATGTCAGGCGATGAGTCATACACTTACTAAGTTCGCTGACTGAATTCTCGATATCGCGCCATGCCTTTCTCAGTTTGTGCCTGTCATCACGATCAACCTGCGCAACCTGGCGATTGGTAGCGTGGCCGAGTTGGTCTAAGGCGTTGGATTTAAGAATTGATTCTGAATCCCAATGGGCGAAAGTCCGCGCGAGTTCGAACCTCGCCGCTACCATCATGTTTTTCCTTCTTTTTTCACCACTTGAAATTGAGTCCCCGGTGCTCAGCGCTCAGCGATAATAAGAAAATGCAAGTGGTCATTCGCGCCTAAGTATTGATACAAAGCAAGGTGCTGTACATACATACAAAGACGTGGTGGGTTTTAGTTCTGGATATGTACAGAGTATTTCCTTAGAAAAGCTGCTAGGGAGTTAAAACATCAAGTCCAACAGAGTGACGCCGCGTGCTTACCCCTTCGATATTGTCTTGGCCTCCTGGACGCTGTCTAACCCTGCCACAAGCATAAGTGGTGTGAATATATCGCAAGTAAACGACACTACCTGCGAGTCGGAACAAAATCATCCCGGAGTTCGCCACCGAAAATGTTGCTGATAGAGTCACGACCGCCTGGCTGCGTCCTCACTCGTCTTGTTAATCGCATTAGTAATTACTACACAAGGCTGTTGGGGTTTTGATACCTTGTGGGTATGAATCTGTCTGCAGCATCGACTTCGCTTTGAGACTGAGTAGCCTGTGGATTTATTTAGATTGCAGAAAGGGGCGCCAGAATACTACTGCACCTCTGTCGCTGGTGGGGGTGGTGCAGTAGATAGTGCATCGTCCGTGAACTCTTCCGCAAGAAGTCCACCATTAGAGGAAACAGTGGGGCTCGCGACCGCCGCTGCTAATTCGTTAGACCAATAACCAGACGCGTCATAATGCTAGAATCACCAACTGGTTCTTCCTCAGCACTCGCTAACTTGCCGAACTTAGCATATCCTGTCAATCAAGTCAACGCTTCTGATCGAGGGGAGATTGTCCAATACTTACGGGGTAGTTTCTGAATGTTACTAAAGCCAGGGTCGACGGTGGTCCCTGTGTATCTGGATATGCTGAGCCACGCGAGTATGAGGGAAACAAGCGAAAGGCGAATTACTTGAGGAATTCGACCAGGCTACGCTTTGTGAATACAATGCTCGTGGTATCCCAGTCAAGCATTCCTATGCTCACACGCTTGGCACGTTTCAGGACGAGCCATGAATGAACATACCGAGGTTCACCGGCCAGTCTTTCTCCTTGGACATATCAACTGCTTGGGAAGGGGTAAATCTGGATAGTCGTGCAGGGTGTTAATGCACGGTCACTAGGTTGAGAGACACGTACGTCGAGGTCATCGTGCGTGATTACAACAAAGTTATTGAGGGTATGAAAGATTGAGCGAGTACAGGATGGTAAGAGATACAAAGAGCAACGTTCGACTTGAAAGAGTTGCCAAGCACTTGACAGTTGCCTTTCTTGTCATTCTCACGTCCAACCGTTGTAAACCTCCAGGCTTGCGGCTCCCAAGACCACAATTCGATCATCTACTTGCCCAAGTTCGGGTATCGTGACTGACCTCCGGGAGCTGCAATGTTGGTGGGGGCATACCGCTTCCAGGCTGCAAAAACCCTTCGGCCCTTGACAAGAACCATCACATCCAGAGCATCCACTTTCTACACGGACCCGTCCAAGGACCAAGAGCCAGGCGTGTCTACCTCTCCGGACATTTCTCTAGAGCAACGGGAAATACTAGACAACGCGCTGCGCGTGGATCAGGCTGGGGAGATCGCGGCGAATTGGATTTATAGAGGACAAATCACTATCCTCGGCAGCGATTCGCGCGTTGGGCCACTAATTCAGGTGAGCCATTTTGAAACTGCACTTCAACTACTCTCCATCGATTTAATATGGTGAAGGAAATGTGGGACCAGGAGAAACGTCATTTGGAAGTCATGGATAAATTGCAGCTACAACATCAGGTACGACCAACAATATTGTCCGACGTCGCCAAGGCTGCGGGTTTTGCACTCGGGGCGGCCACGGCCCTCATGGGCAAAGAGGCAGCCATGGCTTGCACCGAGGCAGTAGAAACAGTCATAGGGGAGCACTATGACGAGTGTGTACTCATTTTCTTTAGCTTTATGCGAGAAGTCTTACGCTCCACGAATGCAGCCAACTAAAAGACTTCGAGTCATTACCATCATCACATCCAAGCATCCCACTTTTGAGGGACGTTGTCAGGGAATTTAGAGATGACGAATTGGAGCACCTAGATACTGCTGTCGAGCATCACGCTCAACGAGCTCCTGCGCATGCGTTGCTTAGCACGGTTATTGGTGGTGGATGCAAGGTAGCTATCGAGTTGTGCAAGAGATTCTGAACCAGGTTGGCCTTGGATTGAAAACAGAAACAATGATGAGGGCTCAATAGTTTACGAGTACCTTCGCGTCACAGTATACGGTATGGCAGGGAGTGTGGAATGTTTCTAGGAATGATCACGACCGTGCCAATGCCTCCCCTTTTCGCTTCCCTGCCCAACTCCACTTTAACTGCAATAACCATGAGCAAAACAGAAATAAATGTAATAGCAACGTACATGTGTTTGACTTGCCAGGTAATAGATCGCTCCGGGAACAAGTACGAACCCATATATCGCGACCCGCGTTGTCCGTGGGGTAAATTTGAAGTGCTTGTATGCATCTTCACGCTATGAACAATAAAATATTAGAAAGATAAGAGGCAGGCGGTTGAACCCGACTGACCATACGGTTCCATCGTTCGATTGCGGGGTCGAGCTGAAGCGCACAAATTAGGGTGTGCTCTAAGTCCAAAAATATGCACAAACCTTCAAGAAGCCTTCATTCGTTATAAGCTATCAGTATCTCTTCCTAGATTGTTAAACCAGGTGCTTACTTGGTGCCGCCATGGTGGTTTGTTGCAGGTGAGGCGAAATGCTGTTGTGGCTTATTTGGCCACGTTCCTTGCTGCTGCACCTCGCAGTCGCACATAACATGCTACTTCTTGACTTTCATCACCTTCTGGCATCTATATCATCTCATTTTGTTTAATGGCTTATAACCGTGACTGGGATAAAGGGAAGGATAGCTGGGGCGACAGTGGGGCATGGTCAGGAGGTAGGGGAAGGGATGACGATTCCTACGGGGATGGAAAACGTAGGAAATTTAACAACGGCGTGCGCGGTTTTTTCTGGCAACCATCTTCTTCCCCCTCTCACCTCATCCGTTAACCAGGGCTATGACGCAAGTCATACATACGAAGAGTCGGGCTACGAGACATACAATCAACAGTCTCAGGGCAAGCCACAAGACTATGCACAAGATTATGACGACCGGCACCAGAAAGGCTTTCAAACCAAAAAGCGTCTGGTCCCTAGCGAACCCAGCCCCCACGTCATCTTTCTGGGCCTGGATCCTGACTTTTCAGAGGCGGATGTTTGTCGACGCACTTTATATATTTTCGAGTACCGAGCTGAATCTATGTTATACTTTAGCTGCAGGCATATCTATCCAACAATGGATGCAACATTGAAACAGTCACCATCATAAGAGACAGATCAACAGGCACTTGCCCATTTGCATTCATATCTATACCGTGCATTGACGTTTGTGGCCATTGAATTTTTTGAAGGTATCTCAAAGGGCTTCGGTTTTGCCCAGTTCCCGAGTATTGAACATGCTCGTGCATTTGTGGATCCGCTTTTTCCGTTTGTTCAAGTGCCCCCACCCGCTTCGCA